ACTTTCTACTCATGCTAAAAAAAAGAAAGCCTATTACCTTCCACAATCTATCTGCGAAACTAGGCCTTCAATTCTTTCCACATGTTGTGGAACTCTCTTCTCAGCAGTGGGGCTGTGTCCCAGCTGTCCATAGCTATTATCTCCAAATGTGAATACTTTCCCATTCTGTTTTAAAAAGGAGAAATCAGACTAATTTCAGGTAAAAACAAAAATAACAAAAAGTTATACATTAAGTATATAACAGAATTATATGAGAGTATTATGTGAAATATAAGCTCTATATAAAGAAAAGGGGTCCTATATTTACAATTCCTCATACTGAATTTAGAGTTAAAACATTAAACATAAAATATCATTGGCATTCCCTTAAGAACTAGGCATTTAATACATTTTTGTAGAATTACTGGATGGACAAAATAACTGATTCAAAAGTAACACTATCATTTAAGTACAGGGTTGCTTTATTGCACACATTACTCTGAAAATAATCTCTTTTAGGAAGATGATTCTTTTTTTAAATTTACTTTTCAATTACAATGGACACACAATATTACATTAGTTTCAGGTGTACAACATAATGATATGACATTTATATCCCTTCCAAAGCGATCATCCCGGTTAGTCTACTACCAGTCTGACACCATAGATAGTTATCACAATATTATTGACCATAACCCTATGCTGTACTCGGTGTCCCCATGACTATTTCTATAACTGCCTATTCATCCCTTCAGCTTTTTCACCCAGCCTCCCAACTCCCCTCCCATCTGGCAATTCTCAGTTTGTTCTCTGTATCTATTAGTTGGTTTCTATTTTGTTTTTTAGATTCCATATATAAGTGAAATCATATGGTATTTGACTTTCTATGTCTGACTTATTTCACTTAGCATAATACTCTCTAGGTCCATCCATATTGTCACAAATGGTAAGATTTCATTCTTTTTTTATGACTAATATTCCATTGTACAAGATATTTGCACCACCTCTTCTTTATCCATTCCTCTATCAATGGACACTTACGTTGCATACATATCTTTGCTATTATAACTAATGCTGCAATGAATACAGGGGTGCATGTGTTTTTTCAAATTAGTGTTTTGGATTTCTTCAGATAAATACCGAGGAGTGGAAATTATGAGTCATATAGTAGTCGTATTTTTAATTTTTTGAGGAACCTCCATACTGTTTTCCATAGTGGTTGCACCAATTTACAATCCCACCAACAGTGCATTAAGGTTCCCTTTCTCCATGTCCTTGACTACATGTTGTTTGTTGATTTATTGATGATAGCCATTCTAAAAGTGAGGTGATATCTCACTGTAGTTTTAATTTGCTTTTCCCTAATGATTACTGATGTTGAGCATCTTTTCATGTGTCTATTGCCATCTGTATATCCTCTTTGGAGAGATGTCTTTTCAGGTTCTTTGCCCATTTTTAAATCAGATTGTTTGTTCTTTTTGGTGTTAAGTTGTATGAGTTCCTGATATATTTTGGATATTAATCCCTTATTGAATGTATTCTTTGTAAATATCTTCTCCCATTCTAGATTGTCTTTTCATTTTGTTGATGGTTTTCTTTGCTGTGCAAAAACTTTTTAATTTGATGCAGTTCCCTTTATTTTTTCTCGTTTCCCTTGCCCAAGAAGACATATTCAAAAAAAAATAATGCTAAGAGCTATGTCAAAGAGTTAAATGTCTATGTTTTCTTCTAGAAATTTTATGATTTTGAGTCTTACCTTTAAGTCTTTAATCCATTTTGAGTTTACTTTGGTATATGGTGTAAGAAAGTGGTCTGGTTCATTTTTTTGCATGTATCTGTCCAGTTTTCCCAACACCATTTATTGAAGAAACTATCTTTACCCCATTGTATATTCTTGCCCCCTTTGCCATAGATGAAATGACCATATAGGTGTGAGTTTATTTCTGGGCTTTCTATGCTGTTCCATTGATCTATGTGTCTGTTTTTATGCCAATACCATGCTGTTTTGATTACTAGTCTTATAGTATAGTTTGATATCAGGTGGCGTGATACCTCCAACTTTTTTCTTCTTTCAAGATTGTTTTGGCTATTTGGGGTCTTTGTGGTTCCATATAAATTTTAGGATTATTTCTTCTAGTTTTGTGAAAAATGCCATTGGTATTTTGATAGGGATTACACTGAATCTGTAGACTGCTTTGGATAGTATGGACATTTTAATGGCGTTAATTTTTCCTATCTATGAGCATGGTATATGCTTCCATTTATTTGTATCTTCTTCATTTTCTTTCTTCAATGTCTTATAGTTTTCAGAGTATAAGACTATTACTACCTTGGTTAAATTTATTCCTAGGTATTTTACTCTTTTTGATGCAATTGTAAATGGAATTTTTTTCTTAATTTCTCTTTCTGATAGTTTGTTATTGGTATATAAAATGCAACCAATGTCTGAATGTTAATTTTGTATCCTACTACTTTACTGAATTATTTATCAGTTCTAATAGTTTTTTGTTTAGGGTTCTCTCTATATAGTATACCATCTGCAAATAATGACAGTTTTATGTCTTTGCCAATTTGGATACCTTTTATTTCTTTTTCTTGCTTGACTGCTGTGGCTAGGATTTCCAATACTGTGCTGAATAAAAGTAGTGAAAGTGGACATCCTTGTCTTGTTCCTGACCTTAAAGAGAAAGTTTTCAGCTTTTCACCATTGAGTGTGATGTTAGCTATGGGTTTGTCAGATATTGTCTTTATTATGTTGAAGTATGTTCCCTTTAAGCCCACTTTNATAGACTGCCCATATAACAAACTCTGTATTTTGAGTGGAAATGTTAGGGGGTCGTCTTATACGCCCAGTCGTCTTATACGCCGGCAAATACGGTAAGTCAGGTTTCACCCATTCTACTCTGAGATGACTCAATCTTAAAAAAACAAAACCTAACTCTGTGCTTACCTTACTTGATCTCTCAGCAGGATGTAACAGGATTGGGCACTTCCTTCTTATAGAAATACTTTCTTTTCTTGGCTTGGTGAGCTACCCTCCCCTGGTTTCCCCCGACTTCAAAAACTGGTCCTTCTCAGTCTCTTATGGCTCTTCCTTACTGCCTGACCTCTAAATGGAGGAGTCCCTCAAGGCTGGATTTTGTCTCCCTTCTCTTCTCATTTTTACTTTCTCTCTAGGTGACCTTTCATCCAGGTCCCCGGCTTTAAATACTATCTAGAGTTGGATAACTACCATGTTTATATTTCGGTGCTGACATCCTCTATGATTCAGATATCCAACTAAAACTCTAGATCTCCTCTTCAAGGACGTTTCAAACTGACTTCATCTCACATAACTTACCCTGCCTTACACACCTGACTCCATTTCATATAACTCTTCATTCTTTCCTACCAACCTCTGTCTGACTGGCTAGCTTTCTCTCTGTCCCTCACACGGGCTAAACATATTCTTGCACCGGGACTTTCTATGTGTCATTCCCTCTACCTGAAATGCTCTTTCTCTGGATCTAAGCACGGCGAAGATCTCTGCTCAAGTGTCACAGCCTCTGCAAGGGCTTCCCTGACTGACATTTCTAAAGAGGCCTACCTCATCCATCTCAAATGACCTGTTTTGTTTTCTTCAGAGCACTTATCACTCTCTAACACAATCATTTATTTTGCATTTATGTGTTTATTATCTGTCCTTCCCTTTGGAATCCAAATGCCGTGAATGAGGGCAACCTTATAGAATACAAACATTAGGGTCCTTATATTATTCACTTTATCCCAAGCACTAAAAGCAGAGCCTGAGACAGGATGCATTTGTTGACTGGCTGATTGAATGACTATGACAGAGCAACCAAGTACAATCCCCTGACTAACCCCAGCAGCACAGAAACCTTGGCCTCTGACCATTTTCTGTCCCAGGGAATACAGTAAGAGTTTACATGGATGTCAGATTTAAAACATTCCCGATAACAGAAAAAAGTATGAATTCAGAAAATATGTGTGCTTTTGTCTCCACACAAACATTTCAGAACTCAGCAAGACATATAATAAAATCCTCTCTGTTATCAATTGGGAAGGCAATTGGGTAAGCTTTGAGGCTGGATTGTGTGAATTTGAACCCAGCTCTGCCACTTCTAAGCATTGCAGTTTTGGGTGAGTTCACCTCTCGGAGCCTCAGTTTCTTCATACGTAAAATAGAGGAAAATAACACCAACTGGAGTTGACACCACCCATTCATTTGGAGTACTCGGCTTAGTGCTTAATGCATGAAGACTACAATTAACATTAGTCATAAGTGCTTTATTATCATCATTAATATTCTTTTTTTTTTTTAGCTGAGCCATCCTGCCACCTATTGGCAGCTCAGCGGCAGCTCAGCTCGGGCCGGGAATCCAACCGGCAACCCTGTTGCTCAGAGCTCGCACTCTTGAGAGAGCTCTTAACCAACTGGGCCACTCAGCTGGCCCTTCATCATTAATATTCTTAATAAAAAAAAAGTTAGTGGAAAACCAATGATTTTGGGGTCTCATCTGTTAGGAAGCAAAATGAGGAAGTGAGGATTACATAATATTTTTTTTTTAAAGTCTAAGAGAGAATCTTATAAAAATTTGAATACATGCAAATGACACAATATTTCAAATACTGCTCTGAAATCTAGAGGAAAAAACTGAATTTTAAAAGAAACAAAGTGTAATAGATACCTGACAAGTTGTCACAAAGTTGGCATATGTTCCAGCAAAAATGTGTTTGACTTGAACATCCACAAGGTCTAAAAGAAAGTCAGAAATTCATGCTTATAGTTTTTATAAGTAAAAAATAAATCTTTTGTTGTAAACCTAAAACTCCTCTTTTAAAAAGACTTTTCAAAAATTTATTTTTGCATTACCAAACTAAATTTACTTATTTATAGTCAACTTATATTCTTCTAAATGGATTTTGACTACAAACAGAAGAAAAGATTAATTTTCATCAGGTTACATGTCATATACTCACTTAGCTGAAATTTTAACTTTTCATGTAGACAGGCTGATGTGCTTTAGAAAAGGTTTGATTAAATATATAAAAGTGTATTGTTCTGATGCTTAAGTAACCGATTTGGCATCTTCTTTTGTATTACCTTAATCTTTAGAAAAGTTTACCAAATACTCCAGGAATCATTGCATAAGAAAAAATGCATATTGTACAAATGAAAAACAACAGTACTAAACAAAGTTCCATGCACTCCTTTGAGAGGAAGATAAATAATATTTGTCCTCCAGTAGCATCAATTAACAAAAAAATCATGAATTAGTGGACCACTCATACCATCAGAAGAAATCAGGCAGCGAATGTCAAAGTTCTCGGTCTGGGCCTCTGGATGAGTTGGCGTGCTTGTGCAGTTTGGTCCACAACCAAAAGACACCACCTGACCAGTGGTGTAGACATATGCAAGGGTGTGATAACTACAGGAGAGAGAATGAATACAATGAAGACCAAGATACTCAGGTTTTTTTGAGAAAGATGATGTCTCTTAACACAAAATAATGATTTATCTTATACTAAGTATGCAGATCCCTTATCACAATGTCAGGGTTAGAAGATACCAGATGATGAAGCCAAAACAATTGGTAGGTGAATATTAACTTATTACTAACCTTAAATATAGAATATTATTCATGGGTCTTACTATGGTTTCTATCATTTGTGTTTTAAATGCAAGTATTTTTTTTTTTTATGAATTAGGTAGACAATACTCAAAGTGTCCTCATAGTTAGGTTATGCAAAACTCTGAATACATATGCAGATATATATCATCTTCTACATGCATAAGCATGAGATTATTTTAATTTTGTTTTATCAACTCAAGTGGACAAGCACCACTGTTTTTGTTATAAACCCACTCCCCCACCGTCCAGCACCTAGTTAGGTGGTCTAACACAGTTAACTCCCACTGAAATCTTATTAAATAAATGAAATGCCGCGGGTAAAGAAGAAAAAAAATGGAAAAATTAAATTATATTTGGAAGAAATAAATTTTCAGAAAGGAAGGTGATCTATAAAAAGGATATCACATATATTAGCGTTTTAAGATTTGATAACATCCCACGTGAGTCATTTCTTTTTTTTTTTTTTTGGCTGAGCCATCCTGCCACTTGTTGGCAGCTCAGCGGCAGCTCAGCT